AACCAGGACATCTGAACAGAGTTTGTATTAGGGCTCTCCTAAATTTATGTATGTAATACGGTGTATCCTTGTTAGCCGTATCATTTTGGGTATTCTGTGACTGGGGTGGTTTTTTGGAGGTGCATATTTCTATAATGAGAACATAGTTTGTGCTCAAAAATGGAACCAAAAGTGGCATTCAGATATGTGAACTGGCCAAATACTCAACTTGTATGTTAAAAGTTTTTTTGACCATGAAAATCTGAAACTGAACATGCAAAAATGCTAAAGCCACTAAATGCACAGTTAGGAATTTGGACGGGTGACTTTAGATATGGACGTTTAAGAGGCAGTTTTGAAAATGTGGTCCTAACTACATTTGAGCATGGGCCTCCTACAAGGGCAGAGTTTTCCTCTTCTGCTCTTGTTTTATAGACGCATTTGCAAGAGGTTAATTTGTTGAGGGGAAGAGGTGGTATGCTACAGATTTTGAACCAGAAAGTCACAGAAGAAAAGTCCATTTTATCTGAGAGAGTTAAATCCTTTAAAGACAACCTGCCTTTCCCCCACAAAAAAAAACAAAACAACCCCCCCAATCCCCTACGCTCAATTTTTTTGGCCACATAAATGAGACAAATGTTGGCTTTACTCCAACATTTCAAGTTAGCTCATGCAGAACACTGCTGAAACAGACTGTAATATTAAAAGGGGATAAAATAAGAGGGGAAAAAACCCCAGTACAACTACTGCAAGTTCCCAACAGAAGGCCTCTATGCCTGCAAAAGATAAAACCCCAGAATATGTAGTTTTCTCCAGTCACCCATGAGCCTTTTAAACAAAAAATAATCCCGCGTCTCAGCTGGTGAATTCTTTTCTGATAAGGCAAGTAAATACATGTAATTATAAAGTTACCATTTTCAAAGAGGAGAGTAATCCTTTCTTTATCCACTGGTAAAACAGCTTGTAATTATTATACAGCTGAGAACAAAGATTTGTCCACAAAATCCTGCTAAATCAAGACAGATTTGACTGATTAAAACTTTATTCATCAAGACATTTGTAATACATTGCATGTGGGTCCTTAAAGCGCAGGCCACAAATCTGTTAGATTTATGGGAATAATCACAAAGCTTCTGTTGGGAAAACGTATGAAACAGAGTACAAAAAACCACCAGTGCCGATCTCTCTTCTTAGGAAATGTGAAAGAGGACCGGTAATGGTTTAAAATGCTCGGGGTGGCCTTTACTGCATTTATAATGTTCGTTATTAATTTAAAATCATTTTGGGCTCATATAAACCAGTGGAAGTTCAAAGAAGAGCTGCACAGATGATTAAGGGGCTGAAGGAATTGACTTCTGGAGGAGGATTTAAAAAATGAAGTCAGTCTAGCTCAGCTGAAGGATTAAGGAAGTAGAGGAAGGGGAGAGTTGTGCAATCGCTGTCTAAGCACAATGTCTGAAGGCTGCAATCATCATAGGGGCTTTGTTTGGTGGGTTTCAAGTAGTCAAACTAGGAAACAGAAGGGATTAAAGGCTGTGGTTGAGCGAAATATCATGCCAAGTAGAACTACGGTATTATATTGGGCACCCTCCCCTAAGGAAACAGCAGCAATTCCAACTTCCTGACACACTGGTCAACACACGAACATTACATAAATCTTAAAAACCAATAATGCACAGGAAGGGGAGGGCAGGGAACTGCTGTCCATCTGTCCTTAGCTCAAGAAAGGCCTGTGGACTGAGCAATGCATAGGACTCCTCGAGACGCAGGACCTAGACGCAACTGGGCTGAGTCTGACCTGCTCTTAAACGGTTCACTTTGGTAGCAGACAGAAGCTATATAAAAGAGTTTCACAGGTGTTTAGGAGAGTCCCTTCAATGCAGGAGCAACACAGTGCTCTGCATGGTGATGAGAGAGGGAGAAAGTCAGAGTACTCAGTGCTATGCTGGTTCTGGAGTATAGTGCCCCCGGCTGCTTTACGCTTACCCAAAGGGCTGATTTTGCCTTTGCAGTTTCCCCCAGTGTGGGCAGGGAAAAGGCAGTGAAAAGCATCTCAAGACACAGGATCACGGAACAGGTGAGTTACAAATTCCCTGAATCCCCAGCAGACAAGACGGGTTTTCTTTGTGCTCAGGATGGATTTTAAGGCAACGACCATCTGTGAAATACCTGCTTTCAAACGCTACAAAAATTCTTCCAAGGCAGCAACAGATCCTAAGTGAAGAAAACCGATGGTGCTCTCATATCAGACAGCCAAACTGATACCAAGACTTGAATGAAGAATAACAATCAGGCACTGAGGTTTCCTAGAACGGATCTTCTCCCAACTTACTCTCTGATTCACCAGTCCTAAATTACTTTGTTAGTTTGCTCTTCCTTAGGTGGCCGGACAAAGTTTTAGCATGTGGTGAAAGCCCAAGTGGCTTGATTTGACACTCTGCAATCCTGCCCCCAACTACTTGCTAGAATAGATGGTTTCTACAGACATTCCTGTTGCGTATGCACTGCTGGAAGATATTGATACTCTGGTGGAAAGCACAGCATAAGAAACTATACAATGGTATGCCACAGTCTGCAGTCTCCCTTATGTTACATGCACTTAGTTTGCAAGTCATAGTGGTGCAGGGAATGTGGAAATGTAGCTACATTGCTGGGACAAAAGAGCTCCATGGGGCTGACATGCCTCATTAAGAGGGAAGCCCTAGAAACCCTGTATCGTAGCACTTACATTTTGGGTGAGAGGAAGCTACTTCCTTTAATGAAAACAGATGGTGCTTTTTCACCACTGAACCATTTCACATTGTTGCTCGGTGCAAGGTGAAAGTGATGATGTCAGCTGGTTAGAAATGCACTGTCTGGCTCTTGGTGCACATTTTGGGGCACACCTCCATACCCAATCTGAATAGCCAGGGGAGGCTGAACGGAGGACTCTTTCCCCACAAAGATCCTGAGAGATGATGCACCTGCTCTGCCGTGCTGAGGCTGCAGCACCTCCTGCTACAGCTGGCTGACATTCCCAAGTTTATTTTTTGGGGTGGAAAATTTGTGAAGAAATATTTGTGAAATGCTTCCCTTCCCCATCTCCCTCCTTGCCTTTTTCTGGACCAGGAGTAACTTCAGCCACTCTGTGGTGGACAATGCCACTGGCCAGAGAAGGAATATATTTGTCACAGAGTCATGCAGAAGGTACAGCAAAGTGGCACCTTAGAGAACTAACCGGGCAGAATCATAGCACAGCAGGGCTGGAAGGGACCTCCGGATGTCACGTCTAGTCCAACCTCCTGTTCAAGGACTGACTATGATCCCTGCTGACTTCGTGCCCCTGGGGCAGGGGGCTGGACTTGATGATCTTCCGAGGTCCCTCCCAGCCCCAATGTCTATGAATCTATAAAGCATCCCAGTCAAGCGTCTGTCTAACTGGCTCTTAAAAGTGTTCATGGATGGATATTCCAAAGCCTCTCTAGGTTGCCTGCTCCGTGCTTAATCGCCCTCATGGGAAGAAAGTGCTTCCTAATATTGAACCCAAAATTGCCCTTGCTGAAATTTAAGACCATCACTCCTTGTCCTGTCCCATGCCCCCATACAGAAGTCTGCCTGAGTCTACTCCAGTCTCAGGCTGTTCTGTTTACAGGGGAATAAACCTCAAGTACAACTATACCAGGAGCTACTGGCAACTGCTGACTTAACTGAAGACACCCTCCATCATCATCTGTCTCCAAGCAGAATCCAGAAGGAATTCTCATATCCTGAAGGCCAAAGGCTCCTAACGTGGCAGACCAATTCCAGAGCTGGCCATCCCCTATCCCCAAAACTGCTTTGTCTCCCAAGCACTCAAATCCTGGCAGTCAGCACCAGCAGCTGCCACAGTGGCAAATAAAAAGAAGTAGCTTTAGAGTCTATACTAGACATTAAAATAGAAAAAACAATTTCATCAAACAGAATAAACTACAGATCATTGCAAAACACCCTAAAACTTGCTATAACATGGTATTAACGTTCATTTGTAGCACAGTTAAATGATTGAGGATGGCTACACCCTTGTAACGCCATATGGTTGGTACACAATATGAACCAGCCTGCACCGTAAATTTGTGAATTACCAAGCTCGGTAATATTCTTACAGGAAAGCTATTTGCATTCTTTGATCTATCAAAGAGACACAGGCAGAGAAGAATTTAGTAGGATGCTTAAAAGAGTAATCTTGCCTCTCATGTTTTTATATGTTGCTGTAACTGTGTTAAGGCAAATTAATGTTCTTGCTGACAAAAAAATATCACTGTAGCATGGATATTGATGTTACTTAGGGAAATGTCTTTAAAAACACTTGCTGCTAACTCTTTCCAAACGTGCTTCTCCACTGAGAAAGGTGATGGATATATGAATATTATGTTGATTTGAAAAAGGGCGTAGGAAACCAACACAGTTTTTCCTCACAATGCCAAAAAGAAAAGGCTTCTTCCTTCCATTCGTTTAGGAGGAAAGCTATGGCAGTGGACGCAGGACCCTTCCTTTTTTGACCCCCCCTTTTATTTTTAGGAAGGAAAGCAACCCTTTCTTTCCTACCACAAGCACCTAGAAATAGAGAAAAGCTTAGTGGCATTTTCCAAAGATCAGCTGATATGCATTTTTATGGGACCAAGTGCAGGAGCAACCAAAGCCACCTCTCTCTGAAACCAAAGGTGCTCTGGCTTGGGTGAGGCTTTAGGAAGGCTGCAGCCTTCATTCAAGAGTTTTGCCTGAATAAGGACTGGAGGATGAGACCATCAGTTTAACTTCAGGTCATGCTGTGGGTGAGGAGTGGGGTTTATTCCCAGTTCGTCTAAACTAGTTTGCGCATCCTTCCTATGAAGATGAGAGAGCAAAGCAGATAAAAGTGGGGCACCATTTAACTGAGAGCATACCATGGCCACAAACCTTTACTACTCACCTTCCAGTCTGACCACCAAAGGTACCTTCAGTTCCAGCTCTCTGCATGCTTTGGTAATGCCGTTGGCGATAACAGCACAGTTCACTATCCCACCAAAAATGTTGACGAGTATTGCTTCAACCTACAAAAAGAAAACCAGAAATAGTCACCTTTTGGGGTGCTACTTCCCAAACCAGTGGTACAAAGGCCAACACGGGGTACAAAAATTAATTTTATAATAGTTTACAAACCATGTACCAAAGTCAATATCATTCAGATATTTAAGTATCGTCATGGGATAGGAAATATTTTAAGAGACTACTTTCTGTGTGTGTGAATGAGTGAGTGACCATGCATGCACATGCATACGTGGCTGTAAAACTCTCAGGCAGTGCCTGTATCCTGCAGCAAACAATTCATCTGAATTTCCTGAGCAATGAAATTGAACATGTGGATTCTTAATGAAACAGTATGCACACATGCTCTATTAAACGTACCACAGACAGAAAAGTAATATACTTGTCCTGACTTGATAAATAGAGGTAAGAAAATCCTTTATAATTAACAAGGGAAGGTAGGTGATGAAGAGAATTCATTACAACAGATTAATTGATAACACCCACTGGAAACAGCTATTCATCAACTTCAGGAATTGAAATTCTTGCACCCAGTTCACAATTAAATTATCCTGCACAGCATAACCAGAACACATTTGGGGATAGTCCCTAGGCCCTTTCCCCCTTTTTAAAAATCTTAACATCCAAAGCCATCAGCACATACAAGTTTGCATTGTACACTGTAAAACTCAACTGTGCGCTGTGGGGGGAGGGGGAGAACCTATTAAAGTACATAACAATATATTAATAGCCATCTAAAATTATGCTTGTAATGAATAAATGTTAATTTGACAAGATTATCATTCCACATAATGTCATTTTGTGAAAACATTTGCCCTTCTTAATAGGCAATGGGTTTTTATACCTCATCACCCATTCATTCATTAGACGTGCCCTTCTCACCAGTATACTTCAAGTTCTACCAGTCACCCAGGGATGAGGTTTTCACCTTCCCAGCCTCACTGCTATTCATGATTCCTGTGGCCTGTCCTTGTGGTGTTGGAAGGAAGATGTAATCAAAAGCAAAGAGGTCTCATAATTGCAATCTGGTACTAAGGAGGGGAGACCGCATCCAGAAAGGCTGGGAGGAGACGAGAAGAGGCCATGGACAGATCCAGCATCCTGCTGTCTGCTGTTTCTCTTGGCAGTGTGGCTCAAACACAGGCACAACTCCACCCACAGCCACTTCGACTGCAAGCGGTGTTGAGTCAAGACAGGAGTTGGTGTGAAGGAAATCAGAATCCCTGAATTCTGCCCCAGGTCCATGCAAGCCTTGCTTATGCCATCATCAACGAAATTTCCTGCATTTGTGCATGTTCCTACCCCTACAGAACTGGGTTAAATGTTTCATTTGGCAAAACGTTATAATTAACTCCTGTGCCTTGCAATCTCATAGGAGTATCGTAGTACTTAGGGTCGGAAAGGACCTAAACAGATCATCAGGTCTGACCCCCCGCCCCAGGAAGGAACAGGTGCTGGGGTCATATCACCCCAGCCAAATATTTGTCCAGCCTCCTCTTGAAGACCCCCTCATATAGCGTGATCAAAGGTTTGACATTATTAACTTTTTTTGCCATCTGTCACATCCTTGAAACAGCAGCAGCAACAACAGTACTTCCCTTACTACCAGGATTTTTTTCAGCAGTATCTTTCAGTAGTATCACAAAAATATTGTTTATTATGCACATATGCTATATTTATAGTGCACAAGGCAACGCTAACCTTAGCATAATTTTAATGAGATTAAGATGGCAAATGGAACCAGCTCATTAATACCTCTCGTCACCTTCTGCTAATCTCAGCTCCACAGCCTTTCATCACACTGCCCTATACACCTGGACCAGCCTCCATCTGCCTATGCTTTAAACAGACCCCTTTTGCTCCCCTCAAATTTCCCATTAAAAAGCCACTTCTTTCACCTACCCTTCTATTATTGACCCACTAGGATACTATCTCCCCGTACCTCTTTCCTTATCTTATTATTGGCATAGGAGTCATCCAGTTTAGCTTTCCAAGAGCCTCTGGGCAGTCCCGTCTCCACGATGTGTTTTCTAAAGCACTAAGCCCATCTCTGATGTTATAAACCTAATAATTAATTCTGATAGCCTTCCTGAAAAATCCCAACATCAGAACACCTTCCTGAGAAGGCAGGTGCTATAATTCAATACATAAGGCAAGAATCACTGCATTTTTAAGTATGGTATGCACACAAGCAACTATGAGTTAGCCATGCAGTATTATATGCAGCTCCACATCGCATGCAGAATACACTAGATGTCATAAGGAAAAAACTGAACTTATGATGTCAGTATACATCCTTCACTCATCTCTTTTCCACATAGCTTAGATACAGGTGTCAACAATACTATTTAAATGGCACCTTTCCACTTGCTCATACTGTTCTTTCACAATCTTTTCTTTTAGAGCTCTTTCCAGGTGTTTGGATGATGTTTAGCATGCTTTACTTACTTCCGCTGGGTTTCTATTGTTCAAATCCTTCCCCTTGTAGAAACCCACAAAGGCAAAAAGCCTAGAAGTTCCTTCTCTCTCGTGCACCTACTTATAGACGTGTGCTTGTGTGTACACACAACCTTTGTGGTGAGAGGTGAAAAACAGAGCCTGTCAAGCTATAAGCATGTTAATCTTTCTGATAGAAAAATACTTATGCAAATATCTAGAAAGGGCTGTGACATTAGAAGGTATTGTAACTTTGCATTGTAACAGCAGAGCATGTGACAGATGCTTCTCTGTCTTCTCTAATGTATGTTCCTAATTTAGGAACGCTGCGCCAGGCATGTGACAGATCAACTTAAGCAAGTGTGTTTACATTATTAAAGATAAGGAAGAGGATTTTCTGCCCAATACAGATATTTTAATTCCCAATGCAGGCATTCTCATTTAAAGATCTGCTTTTCAGTTTTCAAGCTGAATTCTAATCAGGTCTTCTAATCCATTGGCAGCTAAAGGAGAAAAAAAGTATGTTGAAGGAAATTAGATGCAGCTTGGATAATTGATGTTTGTATGCCTGGCTTTAATAAAAATACTCTGTTAAATTAGAGAGGAGTCTAAAAGGATTCAATCAATAAGAAACTGAATCAGGTGGAGAATTCTATCTTGGATTTTATTGTAATCTTATAAATAAGCCAACAGATCAGTCCAAATGATGCAGGGATTTGCTTTAACTCTACTGGAATTTGTGAACGTTGTTTATACTCACTTCCCCAGCCTGACTAGATCGTGTATTTCTACACGATGGTCTTTTGAAGTAACTTGAGTATTTGGATACTGTACTAGGATGAAGGGATTTTAAAGATTTGATGTGCATGGAAACTGCAGTGGGGAAAAGAAACCACCCTTGCATAAGGGAAGAAGAGCATATTAACACACTTGGAACATAAAATGCATAGTAAGAGCCATGCAAACTGCCTGCAACGAAGAACAGTCACCTGGAAGAGCCTCTGAATAACTAACAGTTAATGTTTCCATACAAAATGACACCTTGTAAGATGATTCTGTATCTCAGTAACTTTGAATAGGGAAATCTAGATGAAAACATCTCCTCAGGTTAACTCTGTTTTTACACTGACAGTAGAGTTGCCGTCTCCACCAAGGATAGCTTTAACTTCTTTTCTGCCCTTCCAATGAAGTAAAAACAACTAACAGTAATGTGAAAACATCATTATCAGTGGTACAGACAATATGCAGTCCGTCTTTCCTAATCATTCATGTTGGAAAGCATCAGTGAAGGAAGATGAAAAGACTGTCAGCACTCAGGTGTTACAGGAAACAACTTAGCCTTTTGTCACTGCTGGGACGTGCAATAATGCCCCAAAACATCAGTATTACATGTTCGTATAATATTTTTTCATACGTACACAGACTTCTGGATATATACATACACACACACATATTTGTGTGTATATATATATCTACAGATATAGATATCTATCTATATAGATATTGATAGATATATCTATCTATATATACACACACACACACCTATAGATATATAGATAGATATATAACATTATACAGGCTGTATGCAATGTCAAATGTGTATTTAAAGAATGTAACTATGATATGCAGTTAATGCCTTCTTAGTTAAACTTTAAGGACAAAACATTCAAGAAGGCTACATATTTAAGACTTGAAAAAGAAAAAAAAAAAGAGTTCTACTATTTTAAATGCAATAATTGTACTATAGTTGCCGAGATCACTTAAAAAACCCAGTAGGGTATTACGTTTAAAATGACCAAGAGCATCCATGGCCAAAAAAAGTGACCACTCCTGTGGATCTGTTGCGTTACTCTCAGTCTGTGCAGCTATACAATATCAATTAGCCTGTTAGGGAACTTCCCACGTGTTTCTTCCTCTCTGTAAAGGACTGAGGCCTTCCCAAAATGTATCACAATATTCTGTCCTCATACACTTAAGAATTAATAGAAGGGGCATCCATAAAGCATTCCGCTTGCCTAAAACCCATTTATAAAATCTATAACCAGGCCGTCTAGCTGTCTACAGCTGCAGGATTCTAGTCTGCTGAGCACCTTCCGAATTCTTCACTAACAATATGAATATTGCATATGATGGCAAAGATGGAAGAGGGCAGAAAACTTGAACCTTGCAAGTTTCTATTTCTCTTCCCTTTTCATTTTTACTGAACTACAGTTAGAGTTGACTCAGACAATGATGCATGTTAGAGCCAGACATTTAATACAGGATAAAGCTCTGCTCCTGACAAACAGAAAACGAAGTATCAGGTGCAGATTTCGGGAGAAGAATGAACTACCTGACCAATACATGAAATGCACAGACAAAACAATACAACTAGAGAAGTAGCGAGGGAATACTTCCGATAGCTTGACAAAAAATATTAAGTTAAAATAAAGAGCTCTCTTGAATACAATGAATCTTACTAATGTAAGCAGTGAATAATTTTAAGCATCTCTTTATGAAGTGTGTGTGTACGTGCATGTGTGTGAGAGAAAAGTAATTCAAGAAGATAATTACTGCAATACTCAGATCC